TTTTTTTTTTTTTTTTTTTTTGGGGGGGGGAGACAAAATCTCCAATCTATTTGTGGGGAGCTGGACTAGAATTGGTAAATGTTTGCTGAACTCGTCTTGTGGTTGGTGTTGTTGTCAACAGATTCCGCAGCTGAGCGCATCAAGGAAGTTCGATATCAAGAACACAGTACTGACATTATGATGATGTCATCAAAATTTCTGTGCATCACGGGGCGCATCTGCCAGAGTTGCCATCAGTCAGAGCGACCACCGAAGCATGGGGTGCAACAACAATTGCTGCTGACGTCAACGAAAATTGATGCTGACATCAACAAAAATTGATGCTGGCGTCAACAAAACTTGCTGCTGATGTGAGCAGAAATTGCTGCTGATATCAACAATAATTGCTGCGGATCGTAGAAGGAAGGAGGAGGGCAAAGATAATTGCTGCTGATGTCAACAACAATTGATCAGCTTGCTGCTGATGTGGGCAAAACTCACTGCTGATGTCAACAATAATTGCCGGGAATTGTAGAAGGAAGGAGGAGGGCAAAGACAATTGCTGCTGATGTCAACAACAATTGCTGCTGATCAGAGAAGGAAGGAGTTGGGCAAAGACGGGGCTACGGGGTCATTGTGAGGCCTGAACTGCTTCATTAATGATGATATGGCATTGCCAATTTGGCATCAAGAAAACAAATTCTATCCATCATCGTAAATTATGCCCGTCATCCCCGAGGGCCCAAAAAACTTAGGTTTTTTTTTTTTTTTTTTTTTTTTTTTTTAATCTTGAGAAGGTTAGCCTCCTATCGTCTCTGATCGAAGAGGACTGGGGAGGGGGAGGGGGAGAGGAGAGGGGGTGGTGGTGGTAAAGTGACGGCTGGAGATTTCTTAAGTTGAATATTTCGTTTTTTTTTTTTTTTTTTTTTTTTAAACAACACGCCCCCACCAGTGTTAGTGGTGCTGATAAGAGCAGACACCACTAACACCTGGGGGGAGGCTCCATCTATGGGTGGGGGGCATCACCTGCTGGGAAACGGGCCCAGCGTCCCATATACAGCAGTATGTCAGAAAAAGAACCATTGTGGGAGAGTCCTGCCAGCATTGATTACCC